AGTGGTAATTAGCCATACTCCACCTCCAGATCCTGAACCCATGCAACTGGGCATTGCTAAACTCACTGAGGTAGAGAGACAACACAGACGCAACCAGGGGTTGTGTTTGTATTGTGGCAAAAGGGGACATCAAGGATTTTCATGTCCGGTTCGGCTGGAAAACTTGCGCACCTAAGGCACTTAAAAGACTTAAAAGAGGTATTCAACAAGGTTCAGTCGGAGGTATTACCACCACATAGACCCTACGACTGTGCCATAAATTTGTTACCAGGCACTATGCCCCTAAAGGAGGAGTATATGCACTATCTCCCTAAGAATCTTTGTTTAGAAGAGTACATAAAGGATGCTCTCGGGAAGGGTCACATACGTAGATCGTCTTCACCTGCTGGGGCTGGGTTCTTCTTCGTTTCTAAAAAAGAAGGAGACCTAGGCCCTTGTATAGACTATAGGGGTTTGAATTGAATAACAATAAAAAACACCTATCCCATTCCCCATATTTCTGAGTTATTCGATAGGTTGAAAGGTTCCCAGGTCTTCACTAAGCTCGACCTCAGAAGTGCTTACAACCTAGTCAGAATTAAGAAAGGGCATGAGTGGAAGACCGCGTTTAATACGAGAATGGGACATTACGAATATCTAGTTATGCCATTTGGACTGTGCAATGCCCCAGCGGTGTTTCAGGATTTCATTAACGATGTCCTTAGAGAATATCTCCACATGTTCGTTTTAGTGTATCTAGACGACATTCTCATCTATTCCCCAGATTTAGAGACACATCACGAACATGTGAGAACAGTACTAAAAACCCTGTTAAAGAACGGCCTCTACTGTAAGCTGGAGAAATGCCAGTTTGACCGGACTGAGATACAGTTTCTGGGGTATGTTATATCGCCATCTGGTTTCAAAATGGACCCACGCAAATTGGAAGCAGTCTTACAATGGCCATTACCCAAAGGCCTTAAAGCTACACAACGCTTTATAGGTTTTGCGAATTATTACCGCAAGTTCATTAAAGGTTTTTCCTCTGTAATCTCTCCTATTACCAACCTAACCAAAAAAGGAGCAAATTGCAATTCATGGCCCAAGGAAGTAATTACGTATAGGCCCGGGACCAAGAACACCAAGGCAGATGCGCTGTCTAGGCAGTTTGAGACAGATGAGGTTCCTGAACAAGAGGTATTCCCTATCATACCTCCAGAATGCATTATTGCCACTACAATTTCCGAAGTGTCTTCTCCACTCTTCTGTGCCATAATAGGAGATCAAACTCAGGCACCCGTGGAGAGACCTCCGGATAAACTGTACGTTTCACCACCATTAAGGAAAAAGATATGTTACAAACTGCCTTTTGTAACTGTTTTTTCGTGTGACCAATTGCCCTGCTTCCCTGGGTTATGGAGAAGCCTGTTGGCCAGTCTTCTACCATGTGGCTATGACTCTTTGATGTATTTGGCTTTAAAGCCCCTATTCTACCTTCAGACAGACTATTTATGTAGGTTGCTTTATTTCTCTTATGTTTTAGTCACCCTGTACCCATTAAAGGTGCAGGGTGTGTGTACTGTAATTGTTTATAGTGTGTGTATGTGTGTGTGTGTGTGTACTGTGAAATGTATTGCCTGCTCTCCTATACTGCTGACGTTTTCTACCAACTAGGTGGATTTGGCTATGGAGCTTATCTAGTGCCCTCTGTTCGGTAGCAACAGCAATATGCACTACCTGAATAGCAAGACTGGGTCATTTGCATATTCGGGGAGATTTGCATATTGCTAATTCTGCAGGCATGTGAGATATTTTCTGTTAATTATTGTCTCCCCCACCCCTTTAAAAATATGACATTGTGTTATAATAAGTCACTGTATGTTGCCTGCTATGATTTGACTGTTTGTAATTTTATTGAGATTTCACAGCAATGTTAATTTAATGACCATATGGGCTAATCCCAAGTAAAATAAAGTTTTAGTCAGTTCTTCTTGACCCTCAACACGTAGTCTTGTCTCGTGATTGGAGGGGACAGCTATACTCACACTGGGTATTGCTATGCACTGCATACTCCCTTGAGCCTTAATCACTTAGCTCTTTTCAAAGCTGTTCCTGTTACGCTCTCCTTGGAGGAGAGGTCTTCCCCACACAGTCCTGGAGGACAGAAGCTGATCCAGGGTGGAAGGAAGACGGCGAGACTCCAGTCAAGCTACGGCGGTTGCGGAGTCTGCAGTGGTTGTGGTGTCCGGTGTGGTCCTCGGCGCAAGCTAGGAATCATCCATCAATGGAGGGTACTTAGTCGGAGTACGGGGAGCTCCGTTACAAGGTACTTGGATTATTCCATGATAATTTGACAGCAGGTCATCCTGGAGTCCATAAAACTCTATCTGCTATCTCCAGGAGGTTCTGGTGGCCTACACTTAGGAACGAATCAAAGATTATGTAAGGGCATGTCAAATATGTGCCGTTTCTAAAGCCTCTCACAAATCTCCTCTGCTACAACCACTGCCGATACCTAATGCTCCATGGACCCACTTAGCCATGGATTTCATGGTGGATCTGCCCAATTCAAACGGATTTAACACAATCTTTATGGTCATAGATAGATTCTCAAAAATGGCACGTTTTGTACCTCTTAAAAAATTACCATCTGCTCAAGATCTTGTACAAATATTTTTGAAAGAGATCTTTCAGTTACATGGAGTGCCAAAAAACATAGTATCTGACAGAGGTACCCAATTTATTTCTAGGTTCTGGTGTGCCTTTTGTAAGTAATTGGGTATAGAACTTTCATTTTTCTCAGCGTATCACCCTCAGACTAATGGCGCAGCAGAGAGGGCCAATCAGTCTTTAGAATCTTATTTACGTTGTTTTATCAATGCCAATCATAGTCTAACTGGTACGAACTCTTACCCATGGCTGCGTTTGCCAGAAATAATGGACTCATGAATCCTCTAATCATAGTCCATTTTTTGTAAATCAGGGTTATCACCCCACTGTTTTACCTTCTGAATTTTCAGACACTACCTTCTGAATTTTCAGACACTACCTTCTGAATTTTCAGACACTGATATTGCTGCCTTGAACACTTGTTTAGATTCTATTCATGACACTTGGGATTACGTTCATTTAGCACTACAGAAGGCATCAATACGTGCTAAAATCCAAGCTGACAAGAGACGGGGTGCCAATCCTGTCTATCAACCAGGAGACAAGGTGTAGTTATCCACACGTCATGTCAAACTTAAGGTTCCTTCCATGAAATTTGCGCCTCGGTACATAAGTCCTTTTCGGGTCCTCCGTCGTATCAACCCTGTGACTTATTCATTGGCACTTCCTGCTCACATGAGAATTGCCAATTCATTTCATGTGTCCTTGCTTAAGCCTCTTACTTGCAATTGATACACTAAAGTGGCTGCCCCTCCTCTGCCCTTGGTAGTGGGTGATCAGGAGGAGTACGAAGTTCGTTCTATATTGGACTCCAAAATCTCCAGGGGTATTTTGTCTTATCTAGTTGACTGGAAAGGATATGGTCCTGAGGAACGTTGTTGGGTTCCTGCTGACCAGGTTCATGCGCCCCGTCTTATCCGGTCGTTTCCCAACCGCTTCCCTCATAAGCTGTCTCCTTCCCGCCCGGTGAGCGGTATTCGAGTGGGGGGTACTGCTGCGGCTCCTGGCCCGGCGCATGGCGCAGCCGTGCCCAACCGGCACGACCTCGCTGATATTGTGAGCTTACGTGCTCGCCGGGAACCGCTACCTGCACCCCTCAAGCACACACACAGCACCGAACACACATATAGCACTCCACACACACACCAGCACCCCACTCAGATAGCACTCCACACACACAGCACCCGTACACACAGACACATACACTGCACCCCTCACTGCAGTGTGTGTGTATTCAGCAGTCTGTGTGTGTTCAGCAGTCTGTGTATGTTTGTGTGTGTTTGTATTCAGCGGACTGTGTGTATGTATTCAGCACTCTCTATGTGTACTTAGCAGTCTGTCTGTGTGTGTCTATTCAGCAGTCTGTATGCGTGTATTCTGCAGTCGTCGTGTGTATGTATTCAGCAGTCTGTGTGTATGTATTGTATGTATGCATTGCATTTGTTGGAGGTACTTCTAAATATAATCTTCGTTGTATCTATAATTTACGTTTTTATGGGGCCCATAATGTTGTTAAAATGGCACTGGTGTCTGTCAGTAAGTGTGTGAGTCAGCAAGTGTGTCTGTCAAGAAAGTGTCTGTCAGTGAATGTGTGTGTATGTCTGCCTGTCAGTGTGTGTGTGTGTGTGTGTGTTTATGTGTCTGCCTGTCAGTGAGTGTTTGTCTGTCAGGGTTTGTGTGTGTGTTATTGAGAATGAGTGCCAGTGTCAGCAGGGCCAGCCTTTGAGGTGTGCAAGCTGTGGGGTCACGCAGGGTGCCATGACAACAAAGGCGCCTGGCGGCCAACACAGCTCACAAGTTTGGGACACCAGCATATTTAATTTAAACGATTCCCTGGTGGTCCATTGGTGTGCACCAGCAGTAGGTGCAGTCAGATTATATCCTCTCCCTCGTGATTCTGGCGCTTAGTTAGTGAGTCAGAGCACAGGCTCAGAGATTCTCAGCCTGTGCTCTAACAACATTGAAAGTCGGAGCCGCAAAGGAGTGGGTATGGCAAAGAGCTACTGATTAGCATAACATCAATATCCGTTATAAAACCAGGAAAAGGTGGGCATGGATGGGGAGCTGATTCGGGGGTGCAATTGGCCACTTGACTGGATTTTTCCCCCAGGCCAGAGGCTGCCAGCCCTCCCTTGGGACTGAGGCTGGAGTCAGTGCATTAAGAGCCAGAAAACAGACGGATCCTGGACATGGGCTTCAGATGTCGTAATCCTCTTGTCAAGCTGCTCCTGGACAACAAACAACGTCAGAAGCGTCTTACCTGGGCTAAAGAAAAACAGACCTGGTCTGTTGCTCAGTGGTCCAACGTCCTCTTTTCTGATGAGAGCAACCTTTGCATCTCATTTGGAAACCAAGGACCCAGAGTCTGGAGGAAGAATGGAGAGGCACACACTGCAAGATGCTTGAAGTCCAGTGTGAAGTTTCCACAGTCTGTGTTGATTTGGGGAGCCATGTCATCTGCTGGTGTTGGTCCACTGTGCTTCATTAAGTCCAGGGTCAATGCAGCCGTCTACCAGGAGATTTTGGAGCACTTCATGCTTCCTTCCGCAGACGAGCTTTATGGGGATGCTGACTTCATTTTCCAGCAGGACTTGGCACCTGCCCACACTGCCAAAAGCACCAAAGCCTGGTTCAATGACCGTGGGATTACTGTGCTTGATTGGCCAGCAAACTCGCCTGACCTGAACCCCATAGAGAATATAAGTGGCATTGCCAAGAGAAAGATGAGAGACATGAGACCGAACAATGCAGAAGAGCTGAAGGCCACTATTGAAGCATCCTGGTCTTCCATAACACCTCAGCAGTGCCACAGGCAGATAGCTTCCATGCCACGCCGCATTGAGGCAGTAATTGCTGCAAAAGGGGCCCAAACCAAGTACTGAGTCCATATGCATGCTTATACTTTTCAGAGGTCCGATATTGTTCTATGTACACTCCTTGTTTTATTAATCGCTTGTAATATTTTAATTTACTGAGATTGTGGATTTGGGGTTTTCCTGAGCTGTAAGCCATAATCATCGCACTTTTGACAAATCACAACTTGAACTATCTTGCTTTGCGTGTAATGCGTCTATCTCATATATTAGTTTCCCCTTTTATGTTGCATAACTGAAATAAATTACCTTTTGCACGATATTCTAATTTTTTGAGTATCACCTGTATGTGTCAGTGTCTATATGAATTTGTGTTTATTTGTCAAGTGTAGGGGGGCAGGGGTTTTGTAGAGGGGGTCAGTGGTTTTTGTAAATGGAGGGTGCAAGAAGTTTGTAGGGGGGCAGGGGTCTTGGAGATGAGGGCAGGGATGTTTGTGAAGGAGGGGTGCAGGAGGTTTGTAGAGGGGTGCAGGGTTTTTTGTAGAGAGGGGGTCAGGGTTTTTTGTAAATGGAGGGTGCAGGAAGTTTGTAGGGTGGCAGGGGTTTTGAAAAGGAGAGAAGGGATGTTTGTGAATAGGGGTGCAGGAGGTTTGTAGACAGGTGCAGGGTTTTTGTAGAGGGGGCAGGGGATTTGTAAAAGGGGGACTGGGCAGGTTTTTTTTTTAGAAGGGGGAGTTTGTAGAAGAGGGACTGGGCAAGGGTTTTGTAAAGGAGGGTGTGACAAGACCAATCTCGCCACTGTGCATTGGAGGAGCCTGGTTGCCCGCCTTCTGCCTTTAGACTATGGCCCCATGTTAAAACGCTTGATTTTCCCCTGCAAAGACATGAAAGCCAGGTCATTCGGTACTTGCCCTATTTAAACAGTGATACCCCAGATAGATATGCCATGGAGCCCATTCATATAACGAAAGACTATGTGAAAGACTTTGGCTCCATGGCAATTGAACTGTATGTATGTGATCTGAGCGCCATTCAGTAATAATGTGCGCTCAGATCTCAGCTATCTGGGGATATGTTGAATGTACCTGTTTTATGCAATAGCTGCACAGTTATATATTTTTATGTATTTTATTGTCTTTTGCTACCATGTGGCTAATGGCGTTTTGCCTCTGTCCTTAGAGATAATTGGATTACTTCCCAATTATCTCCAGGATAGAAGACTGTCGAACTGTTTCATTTGGTCACAAAGGACTTTGATCTAACTTTTGACCCACTGGACCAATTTGTATGATTTTGACATATGTTTGTATTTGGAGAATGCTGATTCTGAAAAGTTTTATGTGAATGTGATGCATACTTTTACAGTTATGAATAATGTGGAAAAACTGTATTTCTCTGCCTGTGATAATTACATTAACCCATTGAGTAAGGTAATTGTATCACAGGCAGAGGGGAGGATTTTGTGTGGGAGTGTCTGAGTGTATTGTACGTGTTTATTGGTTGTTTTACCAAACCCTGTGGGTGGTACTAATGTGTAAGAATGCGTATATAAGAACAATAAACCCACAGCTCTGTCTGTTCCTGTTTTGACCCTCAACACGGAGCCTTGTCTTGTTCTTGGGGGGATTTATTGTATGCTGTTCCAGTTTGACTGTTAGGCGTGTAAACCTTTCGTATGGTTTTTCCTATTCGACTGTTTACAGCATTAGTATGTTTGAGAGCATTCGTATGCTTCTCCGGTTCGGTGGATTGGTGTCTACAGTAGCTGTGCCTGTGTCTCTGGAAGGGGAAGATCTACTAAATGGCGGTTTAACCCTTTTATGCCTGGGGGTGCCGTTACAGAGGGGGTGCAGGAGTTTTGTAGAGGAAACAGGAGTTTTGTAGAAAGGGGGGGTTTGTAGAAGGGGGATTTTGTAGAGGGGGTGCAGGGTTTTTGTAGAGGGGAGCAGGGGATTTGTAAAAGGTAGACTGGGCAGGGGTTTTTGTATTGTAGAGAAGGGGGTGCAGGGTTTCTGTAGAGGAGCGGGTGCAGGGTTTTTGTAGAGGGGGCAGGGGTTTTATAGAAAGTGAGCTGGGCAGGGATTTTTGTAGAGTGGGGGTGCAGGGTTTTTGTATAAGGGGGACCAGAAGACAAAAAACACAAAAAACAAAAGGGTGTTTTTTTACATTTGAACGGTGGGGGAAGGGGGGTGTGCCAAACACAGGATTCGACCCGGGTGCCAAATGCTCTAGGTACGCCTCTGCAGGCCAGCATAAGACGCTGCATTACTGGTCCTTGGAACGTCAAGCTTTTTGCCAAAAGTAAAACAGTTGCCTGCATGCGGGCTAATGTAGGCCTTTAATAAACAAACAGACAGAGGGCCATATAGACGTATAGGTAGACAAATCAGGATTACAGATATCAGACGTAAAACTAGCCCTTGGTCAAATTAATTAAATAAAACCTTAACGTGCACCTGAAACTACGGTAAGCAGGTTTATATAGTGTCGTGGAATAAGTTGGCGTTATATCAATGCCAATAAAAGAATAATAATACAGGGAGTGCAGAATTATTAGGCAAGTTGTATTTTTGAGGATTAATTTTATTATTGAACAACAACCATGTTCTCAATGAACCCAAAAAACTCATTAATATCAAAGCTGAATATTTTTGGAAGTAGTTTTTAGTTTGTTTTTAGTTTTAGCTATATTAGGGGGATATCTGTGTGTGCAGGTGACTATTACTGTGCATAATTATTAGGCAACTTAACACAAAACAAATATATACCCATTTCAATTATTTATTATTACCAGTGAAACCAATATAACATCTCAACATTCACAAATATACATTTCTGACATTCAAAAACAAAACAAAAACAAATCAGTGACCAATACTTAGCTACACCTTTCTTTTGCAAGGACACTCAAAAGAAGCCACACCATCCAAAAGCTAGTTCCACGTAAATTGAGCAGTCTACATTTCACCATCAACGTGCGTGCAGCAGCAACCTTTTAACCCTCCCAGACACTGTTCAGAGAGGTGTACTGTTTTCCCTCACTTATGGGAAATCACATTTATTATTTGGACCACGAGGTTCTCAGTGAGGGTTCAGATCAGGTGAACAGGGAGGCCATGTCATTAGATTTTCTTCTTTTATACCCTTTCTTGCCAGCCACGCTGTGGAGTACTTGGACGCGTGTGATGGAGCATTGTCCTGCATGAAAATCATATTTTTCTTGAAGGATGCAGACTTCTTCCTGTACCACTGCTTGAAGAAGGTGTCTTCCAGGAACTGGCAGTAGGACTGGGAGTTGAGCTTGACTCCATCCTCAACCCGAAAAGGCCCCACAAGCTCATCTTTGATGATACCAGCCAAACCAGTACTCCACCTCCACCTTGCTGGCGTCTGAGTCGGACTGGAGCTCTCTGCCCTTTACCAATCCAGCCACGGGCCCATCCATCTGGCCCATCAAGACTCGCTCTCATTTCATCAGTCCATAAAACCTTAGAAAAATCAGTCTTGAGATATATCTTGGCCCAGTCTTGGCCACGTTTCGAGCTTGTGTGTCTTGTTCAGTGGTGAGGTAGGTCTTTCGAAGCCTTTCTTACCTTAGCCCATGTCTCTGAGTGGCCCCACACACCTTGTGCTTTTGGGCACTCAGTACGGTATTTGCAGCTCCTGAAATACTTAAGCCCAAACGCTGAGGTGGCAGAGTGGCATTGTGGCAGCTGCTGCGGCCCGGCTTTCTCAGTTCATGGGCAGTTATTTTTAGCCTTGGACTTTCCACAGCTTCTTGCGACGCTGTTGACTATTTTGAATGAAGCGCTTGATTGTTCGATGATCACGCTTCAGAAGCTTTGCAATTTTAAGAGTGCTGCATCCCTCTGCAAGATATCTCACTATTTTTGACTTTTCTGAGCCTGTCAAGTCCTTCTTTTGACCCATTTTGCCAAAGGAAGTTGCCTAATAATTATGCACACCTGATATAGGGTGTTGATGTCATTAGACCACCCCCCTTCTCATTACAGAGATGCACATCACCTAATATGCTTAATTGGTAGTAGGCTTTCGAGCCTATACAGCTTGGAGTAAGACAACATGCATAAAGAGGATGATGTGGTCAAAATACTCATTTGCCTAATAATTCTGCACTCCCTGTATATATGAAACATAATGTAACCCCTTAGTGACCAGACCGTTTTTCAATTTTCTCACCGTTAAGGACCAGGGCTCTTTTTACACTTCTGCAGTGTTTGTGTTTAGCTGTAATTTTCCTCTTACTCATTTACTGTACCCACACATATTATGTACCGTTTTTCTCGACAATTAATGGTCCTTCTAAAGATACCATTATTCTTATCATATCATATAAGTTACTATTAAAAAAATGATAAAATATGATGACTTTTTTTAAACAACACACTTTTTTGAACTTTGATCCCCAAAATCTGTTACGCATCTACAACCGCCAAAAAACACCCATGCTAAATAGTTTCTAAATTTTGTCCTGTGTTTAGAAATACCCAATGTTAACATGTTCTTAGCTTTTTTGGAACGTTATAGGGCTATAAGTACAAGTAGCACTTTGCTATTTCCAAACCATTTTCTTTTTCAAAATTAAGGAAAGTTACATAGTTACATAGCTAAAAAGAGACTCACATTTATCAAGTTCAGCCTTCCTCACATTTGTTTTTTGCTGTTGATCCAAAAGAAGGCAAAAAAAACCTAGTTTAAAGCACCTCCAATTTTGCATCAAACTAGGG